ACGATGCGGTCGTGGATCTGCAGGCCCCCGTCCTTGGCCGCCGGCCCGCTGTCCACGATCCTGGACACGAAGATTCCTTCACTGGATGAGCCATCCTGGTGGTCCTGGGATTAAAAATACACACGGTGAGCACAGGCGCCAGTGGGCAGGCAACGCAGCTCACACGCCAGAAACAGCCCAAGCGGCAACGCAGTGAACGCAGTCTGTTTGGAACACAGACGATGATAAAACAATTCAAACCACAGCAGACGGTGCAGAATAAGCCCGGCCACCACCAGCCCAGGCAGCCTCGGTCAGCGTTCACACTTCCTCTACACACCACGGCATGTGCCACCTCTCCACTGCATCTGCCCCTCTCCGCTGCATCCGCCCCTCTCCTCCCGTGTCCACCCCTCTCCACCCGTGTCCGCCCCTCTCCTCCCGTGTCCGCACCTCTCCTCCCGTGTCTGCCCCTCTCCACCATGTCTGCCCCTCTCCTCCCGTGTCCGCCCCTCTCCTCCCGTGTCCGCACCTCTCCTCCCGTGTCTGCCCCTCTCCACCATGTCTGCCCCTCTCCTCCCGTGTCCGCCCCTCTCCTCCCGTGTCCGCACCTCTCCTCCCGTGTCTGCCCCTCTCCACCATGTCTGCCCCTCTCCTCCCGTGTCCGCCCCTCTCCTCCCGTGTCCGCACCTCTCCTCCCGTGTCTGCCCCTCTCCACCATGTCTGCCCCTCTCCTCCCGTGTCCGCCCCTCTCCTCCCGTGTCCGCACCTCTCCTCCCGTGTCTGCCCCTCTCCACCATGTCTGCCCCTCTCCTCCCGTGTCCGCCCCTCTCCTCCCGTGTCCGCACCTCTCCTCCCGTGTCTGCCCCTCTCCACCATGTCTGCCCCTCTCCTCCCGTGTCCGCCCCTCTCCTCCCGTGTCCGCACCTCTCCTCCCGTGTCTGCCCCTCTCCACCATGTCTGCCCCTCTCCTCCCGTGTCCGCCCCTCTCCTCCCGTGTCCGCACCTCTCCTCCCGTGTCTGCCCCTCTCCACCATGTCTGCCCCTCTCCTCCCGTGTCCGCCCCTCTCCTCCCGTGTCCGCACCTCTCCTCCCGTGTCTGCCCCTCTCCACCATGTCTGCCCCTCTCCTCCCGTGTCCGCCCCTCTCCTCCCGTGTCCGCACCTCTCCTCCCGTGTCTGCCCCTCTCCACCATGTCTGCCCCTCTCCTCCCGTGTCCGCCCCTCTCCTCCCGTGTCCGCACCTCTCCTCCCGTGTCTGCCCCTCTCCACCATGTCTGCCCCTCTCCTCCCGTGTCCGCCCCTCTCCTCCCGTGTCCGCACCTCTCCTCCCGTGTCTGCCCCTCTCCACCATGTCTGCCCCTCTCCTCCCGTGTCCGCCCCTCTCCTCCCGTGTCCGCACCTCTCCTCCCGTGTCTGCCCCTCTCCACCATGTCTGCCCCTCTCCTCCCGTGTCCGCCCCTCTCCTCCCGTGTCCGCACCTCTCCTCCCGTGTCTGCCCCTCTCCACCATGTCTGCCCCTCTCCTCCCGTGTCCGCCCCTCTCCTCCCGTGTCCGCACCTCTCCTCCCGTGTCTGCCCCTCTCCACCATGTCTGCCCCTCTCCTCCCGTGTCCGCCCCTCTCCTCCCGTGTCCGCACCTCTCCTCCCGTGTCTGCCCCTCTCCACCATGTCTGCCCCTCTCCTCCTGTGTCTGCCCCTCTCCCCATTGCTGCCTTCGCTTTAAAAACCACGCTGAGTTTCCCCTCAGTCCCGCTGCCAGCCTGACTCCCTCCGTGGCTGAACAGCGCCCAACACAGAGACGTAAGCCCTGCTCCAGAGAGACAGGCTGTGCTAACACCTTCCTTCTGCATTTTTTAAATTAATTGTTTTTAATCCTCCCAAGGATATGTTTATTGAATTTTTAATTTTTAGATCATTGATTGGCTGCCTCCTGCACACACACACCCTCCATTTTATAGCTTTAAACCTTTTTAAAAAATATGTTCTTCTTGATTTTTAGAGAGAGGGAAAGGGGGTCAGTGCAAGAGAGAAACACTGATCAGTTGCCTCCTGTGCGCACCCTGCCCGGGGATGGAACCTGCATCCTGGGCATGTGCCCGGCTGGGAACTGAACCCGAGCCCTTTGAGTGTGCAGGACGACGCTCCAGCCAACTGAGCCGCACAGGCCAGGCCTTCCTCCTGCATCTCGAAGAGCTTTGCTGGTACTGCTGCGGGGCAAACCCCAGCACCGGGAGCGTCAGGGCAAAGGGCACACACATTTGGCCACTTCTGCCCAGCTGCCCCCCAGACAGTTTGCAGGGATGGGCCCAGACAGGCGTTTCCCACATCCTCGCCAGCACAGAGCTTCGGTAATACGAGCAGCTTTTAAAGGACCTGAACAAGGCTTTTACTTAACTTAGCGATGCTCAACAGCGCTCCACTATGCAACCATCTCACTGTGACAACAGCGTTTTATTTTTGCTCTGATTTGCATGAGAAATGCTATCACCGCCCGCCCTCCCCCGCCCCATCCTAGTAATTTCTGATCCCCACTCTCCTCAAATCCCTGCAGATCTTCCAGCGCCCGGACAGAAACTTCCAGGGACAGGAGCGAGCTCCCTGCCCACACGCCTTCCTTTTCTCAAAGTCAAAACGCGCCCCCACGCTCACAAAACGCGCGCTCACAGCCTGGTCACGGCCGTCTTCCCAGCAACACCGCCATGGACTCTCCCAAGCCTGGCACCGAGCGCCAGCGACTTGTACACTGAACGCCCAGCAGTGTGGGTTCCAGACACAACGCCTGGGAGGGCTGCTCACACAAACCCCAAGTCCACGTGGCGGAGACGCCCACCTCCCTGCCAATCTGCACACAAACTCGGAACTCCGCTTGTTAAAAAACAACTATGGCCCTCGCCGGTGTAGCTCAGTAGTTGAGCATCGGCCTGCAGACTGAAGGGTCCCAGATTCGACTCCCAGTCAGGGCACAGGCCCGAGGGACAGGCTCGATCCCAGGGTGGGGCGTGCAGGAGGCAGCCGATCAGTAATCCCCTCTCATCATTGATGTGTCTCTCTCTCTCTTCCTCTCCCTACCTCTCTGAAATCAACAAAAAATATATATTTAAAAAAAAAAACTATGAAAAGACCACATTTTCCTCTTTGAACAGCCACAAAGCCCCTGTGTCCCCCCAGGGGAGGGAGTTTAGTCACAGCTTTAAAGGAGCGGTCAGTGTTTCTCCCAATATCTACCCACCTGCCCACCATGTAATGCACACGACGACCACAAGCGGCACTATTCGTAATCATTCCACACATGGAAAACTGGGACAGAGAGGTTAAGTAACTTGCCCAAGTCACACAGCTAAAAGGTAGCATAGGTCAGGTTCAAACTCAGGACAGTTTGAATGCGCCACTGTTTGGGCGCACACTCTGAGTGCAATACTGTCTCCCACCGAGAAACGTCTAAAACACACACACGGATGCAGAAGACCAGCATTCCAGGGGGCGGAACATTCCACCAGAGACGCTGGGGCGTCTCCGTGGACCACAAAGGATTTATGGACAAGCCCGAGCTCTCCCTCGGAGGTGATGTCAGCAGAGCGAGTGAAAGAGCTCTGTGTTCACTCTGCTCTAACGGCTGCGCATTTCTTGGCTGGAAGGAAGAGGGAGATGGGATGGGGTTTTGGCTTGGGTTCCTCTTGCAGAAAACAGCCAATATGAGTCACTGTCCTCTAGGAGCAACTGAACGTCCCAGCAAAACCCAGAGAGAAGGGGCAACAGCAAACACCAGTGTAGGTTAAAGCAAGACCGTGTGGGCCCAATGCTCAGGGGTTGAGCATCGAACTATGAACCAGGAGGTTAGAGTTCAATTCCCGGTCAAGGGCACATGCCCGGGTTGCAGGATCCATCCCCAGTGGGGGATGTGCAGGAGGCAGCCGATCAATGATTCTCTCTCATCATGGATGTTTCTCTCTCTCCCCCGCTTCCTCTCTAAAGTCAAGAAAAATCTATTTAAAAAATAAAGACCGTGTTGAGGGTGAGAAGTCAAAGAAAACCATCAAGTCCACCCCCGATAGCTACATTTTTCTTTTAAGAAGTGTCTCCTTATCTCCTATTTGGCTCCTCTCCTAAGGCACTTAAAGTCAGCTGTTGGCAAGGTGGAGGGACCTGGTTGGGAGGTGAAATGTCGGGAGGGCCTGACCGTGGCCTGCGGTTCCGCGGGGCGGGGGTGATGCTCCGAGCGGCAGCCACTTCCTCAGGATGAGAACTCATGAAGAGCACTGGGGGCGTGCTTAGCACGGCCCACATGATGGACTGCCTACATCAGGGCTCCCTGTGATGGACAGATGGACAGCCTACATCAGGATCCCATGATGGACAGCCTAGGTCAGGCCCCTGTGATGGACAGCCTAGGTCAGGCCCCATGATGGACAGCCTAGGTCAGGCCCCATGATGGACAGCCTAGGTCAGGCCCCATGATGGACAGCCTAGGTCAGGCCCCATGATGGACAGCCTAGGTCAGGCCCCATGATGGACAGCCTAGGTCAGGCCCTGGTGTGAGCACTGCTGCCCTCCTGGCCTCTCCGCTGGCTCTCAGTGACCCTCCAGGATCCAGGCAATGGTGCAGAATGCACGTAGGCCTTGCTGTGCGATTTCTGCTCGTCAGAACACGTTTTGAAAAGCACTATGGCAAGTCCTGCGCGTGGAATCAAATCTTCCTCGGGGGCCAGCCTGGAGCTCTCCCAGGAAGACCACAGAGACCAAGAACATTCAGGACGCTACAAAATCCAGTCTGGGTGGTACTTAAATCACATTAAAAAATTGATTTTAGAGAAAGAGGAAAGGAGAGGGAGAGAGAGAGAGATAGCAACATCAATGATGAGAGAGAATCATGGTTTGGATGCCCCTGCACGCCCCCAACTGGGGATTGAGCCCACAACCTGGGCATGTGCCCTGACCAGGAACCAACCATGACCTCCTGGTTCATAGGTTGACACTCAACTACTGAGCCACGCTGGCCAGGGTTAAATTACTTTTTTAAAGGAAAAAGAAAATAACCTAAAATATGTTCTTTGATAAGCACAAGAACAAACAACAGGACCTCACTGCAGAGGCCGGGCGTGTGCTCTCACCCCTGAAAGGTGCAGACTCCACCCCTCACCTGCTTTCTCAGAGAAGGTTTCCCCAAAGCCTCGGAGTCGCGGGCATGCGTCTCCACGCCACTGGTTCTCGACCACGGGGCTCCCTTCTGCTCCCCAGGGAACCTCGTGCTCTTGCGCTTCGCAGATAATGTGTCTCTGACAAACTGAAGGCTTGTGGTGACCCCGAGTCAGCTCGTCTGTCGGCACCGTTTTCCCGACAGCGTTTGCTCGCTGCATGTCTGTGTCACACGTGGTCACTCTCTCGGCATTTCAAACATTTTCATTATTATTACGTGTGTCATCTGATCTGAGGTGAGTCATCTCTGATGCTTCCATTGTAATTGGGCACCACACAGCAGGCCCATAAGAGACGGTGAACTTAACGGGTAAATGTTGTGTGTGTTCTAACTGCTCCACCGACGATGCAGCCCCAAGTGGGGAGAAGACGCCACCCGGAAAGGAGACGTCAGCACCGGTGTCAAAGCCCCAAGGACAGGCCGACTCTCCTGTGAGGGGCTCATGCAGCTGTGACTTCAAGTTCAAACCAATGCTCAATCTGAAGTCCTAGGAACCATGTTTCTCTCTCTCCTTCTCCCTCCCTCCCATTCTCTCTGAAAAGCAATGGGAAAAATATTCTCAGGTCAGGATTAAAGAGGAAGAGGAAGAGGAAGAAGAAGAAGGAGGAGGAGGAGAAGAGAGAGAGAGAATTATGCTAACTTTGCCTGTGCTCTATAAATGCAACAACCAAGCTGGGAGACAGCACCTCTGTGCACAACACAGTTTATAAATAAATGAGGAAACGGTCAGCAGACGAGCGAGAGGTGACACCATTCAGGTGACCCCACCTGGAGCTGACACCCTGACCGCAGCTTTGCCTCCTCCCTGGAGCGGGGTACCGACACACCCTGGCAGTTACCCTGATGGAGGGAACTTGGCCCCTTCTCTCCAGACAAGGGGTGGACCAGGACGTGGGGGGAGGAAAGAAGCTCACAGACCCACAACAAGGGCCCATCCCCGACTCGTTACGATGACCCTGAGCCACCTGCACGCACCCCACCACCTGGGCAGCTCGACTGCCCCACGCACAGACGTCACCCCCAATCTGAGCAGCGTGGACAAGCTGCGTATTACCAGGCCGATGCCACCATAGTAGACATCCCAGTGCGGGGACGAGACATAAATAACGAAGTCTCCAACTACAGGAGTGAGTGAAGGACTCCATAGAGGTTCCACCCTCCCTCCCCAGGCCCGTCCCTCTCCCAGCCGCCCGGGGAAGGAAAACCACTGAGGAAGGAAGGGACTTACCGCACACGGCCGTCCCCCGATGATGTTGAAGCCGAGGGAGCCAGCGTCGCGGTGCAGGACCAGGGTCAGGCTTTTGGTCTCTTCGCCCTGCGGGGAGCAGAGGAGGCCGCAATTACTCACCAACAGAAAGCGGGTGGCAGGGACTCGCTCCATCTAAGTCAGGGGTGGGCAAACTTTTTGACTCGAGGGCCACAATGGGTTCTGAAACTGGACCGGAGGGCCGGAACAAAAGCATGGATGGAGTGTTTATGTGAACTAACATAAATTCAAAGTAAACATCATTACATAAAAGGGTAGGGTCTTTTTTTTTTTTAGTTTTATTCATTTCAAACGGGCCGGATCTGGCCCGCGGGCCGTAGTTTGCCCACAGCTGATCTAAGTGGACTCATGGATCACAGCTAACCTCACTCTTGGGGAGTATAAGCAAGGGAACAGCTGGGCCGAGCGGAAGCCACGCCCCGTGTTTAGGTTGCAAACACCTTGCGGCCCTGGTGTGACCATGGGAGACTCCTGGCGAGACTCCATCAGACCCTGGTCTGCAAGTGCATCTTCCCATATGCACCCGGGTACTGGGGCTGTCAGCACCACTGTCTGTCCGCTCCCCACCTGAGCACTCCCATTAGGTCATGAACGGTACCCACAGCCTGCCTGGCTATCTGAGCACATGTGCGGCCGTCCACAGTCCTCTCTGCTGGGGTGACGTTGCGGACAGCACATGGAAAGTCAGGTGCAGCCCCCCAGTGTGGCTCAGTGGTTGAGCAGCAACCTATGAACCAGGAAGTCATGATCAATTCCTGGTCAGTGCACATGCCCTGGTTGTGGGCTGGAGCCCCAGCAGGGAGCATGCAGGAAGCAGCTGATCAATGATTCTCTCTCATCATTGATGTTTCTCTCTCTCTCCCTCTCCCTTCCTCTCTGAAATCAATAAAAATATTAAAACAAACAAACAAAACAAGTCAGGTGCAAACCCGAGGGAACCTGAGGAATCCTGATCTAGTGAAGGGGGGGCGTTGTCACAGGTAACACGGTGACCACAGGAGGTGCAGCGCGGAGACTGACAGCACTCGGCTCAAGGCGGGCGACACGAAGCCTCAGAACAAACACGCGGAGTGGCCCAGCAGGTCTCACGGCCAGGGGCGCCTGTCCCGGGGACGGAGAAGCCAGGGCTGCCGAGCAAACTCGCTCACGGAACAGACCGACGAACACGAACAGATGAGCCCGCATGTGAACTGTGGCCTGACGGGTGTGGCGTTAACCCGCTTGCTGACACACAACTGACATGTTGCCGGTTTGCACATCACGTGTGTGCACTGACTAAGCTCGCAATTGCTTTGCTCACGTATCCTGTTTCAACACGGGCTTATTTAAATGCGGCATTTTAAAACAGGAAGCCCTTCATTATAAGCTTTCTGGGAAACACTGACAGCTTATCGCACAAGAGACTTGATCCTGATATTTTCTGTTTCCTGATCAAACCTTTGCCTCCTGCTCTTTCCGGGAATAAATGCAGCACCTGCGCGGCCTGGGCTCAGCTCTGACTGACCACTCTGCCCCGGCCGGGGCCTGGGTGGGGCTCCATCACCCATGCGGTGCACAGCCCGCTTCACACGGGCCGGACAGCTGTGCCAGAGGAGCCGAACACACAGAACACGGACACACACACGCGCGCAAATCCTCTCCCACACAGAAAGTGCACACACACACACACATACACACACATTGCCCTCCACATACAGAACACACATACACACACATTGCCCTCACACACATACACACACATTGCCCTCCACACACAGAACACACATACACACACATTGCCCTCCACACACAGAACACACATACACACACATTGCCCTCCACACACAGAACACACATACACACACATTGCCCTCCACACACAGAACACACATACACACACATTGCCCTCCACACACAGAACACACATACACACACATTGCCCTCCACACACAGAACACACATACACACACATTGCCCTCCACACACAGAACACACATACACACACATTGCCCTCCACACACAGAACACACATACACACACATCCTCTCCCACACACATACTCACACAGATCCTCTCACACACACATATCACACACATACACACACACACACACAGGCACAAACAGACACACACACAAGACTAATGGAGAATGTGCAATCATATCACTAAAAACATCAGCTTCAAATCTCTCTGCCCAGATGGCACGTGTCCCCGGGAGCCAGAACCCAGGGGAGCAAGGAGCTCCCACCGAGAGCCTGGGGTCGGGGGGGAAAAGAAAGACACCTGCCATCCTGGGGTCCAGCTACATCCCTGTCTCCTTGTGGGGAGTGGTAGGGGGCTCTAGCAGTCCTCAGCGCCCCAGCATCCAGCCAGGACCCCGCCCAGGGGCAGCTGGGCCTCAGAACACTGCAGGGTCTTGTTGGATGGTCACATCGTGTCCGCCTGGAAGTGCCAGCAGAAATGGAAGCTCGGTGTGCACGGCCTCACGGTGATTCACTAAGAAGATGACACGCTAGAGCAGGGGTGGGGAACGTCTGGCCCGCGGGCCATAGAAGGCCTGTGAAATCATTTGGTCTGGCCTGGCCAAGGATGAGGGGTGAGCTAATTAAATGTTTGACCGAACAGAGCAGGCTACTTTTTTTTAAGTTGAATTTTGTCGGGGATGTTTGACCGAATAGAGCAGGCTACTTTTTTTTTTAAGTTGAATTTTGTCAGGGCCAGGGATGATGTTATAAATATCCTGCATTAGATCAACGTTAAGATGGCCCAGATCACAGTCTGCCCAGCTTTCAACTCAAGGTCTAACTGGATAAGAGTTGTGGGGGGAAGAGAAGTCACAGGGAACAAGGAAAAATCAAATGTCCTTTGTCAAAAGACACCTTATGGTGGCTGTTTATTTTTATAGAATGCAAACTGCCTTCTATGGGCAAAGTCCCACTTCTATGTCACTGTTCTCCAAAAAGCCCAGCTGGGGAGCTTGGACGCACACCACCTCCTATGGATGTGGCAGTCCCCGGGGTCCATCCACGCCTGTCAGTATGGTCTCTCTCCTCCCCAGGACGGGTGTCCCTGGTTCCCGCGGTTGTGGGGCTCGCTGCCCGGCGGGTTCTGAGAACTGTAATTGACTGACCGCCTGTCTGTGTATCTGGGGACCTGACACCTCAGCCTCGGATTATGCGAAGCTCCCAGAGACTGCACAGCTGGGACACGGCTCCGTCTGCGGCCCGGTGACGGGAAAGCGCAAAAATGTGCAGGGCGGGGGCGGGGAAGGGGAGTTGGTGCCAGACATTCCATCTAAAGAAGGCGGTGTCTCACTCCCTACACAAGACGTCTGTATCCTGTCCTTCAAACTGATCCTAACGGTCAGCAGCGTGGACCAGCCCCACCCCCTGCCACGTGCCTCCCTTCCAGGGGAAGAATACTCGGACGAAGGACAGAGAGGAAGCGCTCAGGCCTGCGGGTGAGTCACTGGGACGATGCTCGGAAGTGAATTCAAAGAGCCCTGGCGGGTGTGGCTCAATGGCTAGAGCGTCGGCCTGAGGACTGAAGGGTCCCAAGTTCTATTCCAGTCAAGGGTATGTACTTGGGGTGCAGGGTCCCCGGCCTTGG